TGTGTTCTTTATCCAATAATTTTTAAAAAACCAAACCTAAAAACATTTATAGTGATAAACTAAATTTGTTAATTGTCTTATATTTAAAATATATATATTTCAGTTTATAGTATTTTATTTTTGTTTTTCTTAGTAAAACATAAACGAAATTAATTTGTACTCGTTTTACATTAAATTCTTATCTAAACTTGTCAAAATCCAAATGTGACAATCAACCCCGCACCATGTGACAACCTACCCCGTGAGCGGGGCTAGTTGTCACACAGAAGTGGTCTTTGAAAAATGATTTTACAGCAATAAATATTTCACTCGATGTCATAAAAATATTATAATAGTTACTGGAAATAGTTAAATTAGCTTTGTGCAAAGTTTGGCATTGATTGGATGAAAATTAAAAGCTGAGCAGCCTAAAATGTAAAAAGTGTGACAACCAACCCCGCTCTCCCCTATATATATATATATATATATATATATATATATATATATATATATATATATATATATATATATATATGATATATACATATATATTTTGCAGACAAGCAATAATGTTTTGAGTTTTTTTTAATAAAATACAAAAAATGAGAGTTTTAAAAGGAAAATATTGCAAAGAGAATAAATACATAGTTACACAACCAAACAGCTACTATACCAAAGACGATATAAAAATTTCTAAACTACAATTATAAGCTTAAACTTTATTAACTTTTTTTTGACGATCCCGAAATCCTGAAAAATTTCGGAGACTAATCCCGGGATTTCGGGATGAACAATTTGTACGAAATCCCGGGACTTCGGGATCCCATCCCTACTTACAATATTGCAAGAATATCACATCTCTAAAGTTTATTGTAATTGGTAGAATATCGCATAAAACTTAAATAATATTGTCACACAATACAAGAAGATGATTATTTCAAAACTATGAATTTAAAAAGTATTATCATATGCATACTATTTATAGTACATTTATTTATCAACACTTTAATTACATAAATTGTTACAAATATTTCGGACGCACTAGATACACTTCTAAATGCGATAACTTTAAAACAATGATATATTATATATTCTAGATGTCTAACTTCAGTCCAAAAAGTGAAGCCGCTTTTTCCCTTATTAGAAATGGCTTCTAAACTTATAATTTCTAAACCATATGTTGGATTTTCCACCCTTTTGAGTCTAGTATATTCAGCTTCATGATGTTAAAAACAATAATACAATAATAGAAATGTTTTGCCATTTGAAACGTTTTAACTCTCATACTTATAGAGATACCCCAAACTTGGATTTTTTCCAGAGGCCTCTAATCATCTAGACGGGTAAGAGAATGTGAAGTTTTTAACTTTTTGATGGAGACATCAAAGAAATGAAAGAGGAAAGTTTTATTATTCCTTTCAACATGGCTTACTATAATTACACGTCCAGGTTTGTAGGTTTTTACGGCAAAAAATTAAGAACGCTTTTTTTTATAATTGCTATGAATGATGTCTTAAATCTCGAGGCTGTAATTAAATTTTTATTTTTTGCTTATTTATTGTAATAAGTTTAATTATAAATTACTTATTACTTATGCTTTTAAATTAGATTTTAATTAAGTATATAATATAAACATAATATTTAAATTATTAGGTTTAAATGATAAACATTTTGTTGCTCTTGAGATATGATTATTTTTTGTCTTTAAAAAGTCATAAATTTGTTTTTCATGCCTTTTTCATACTTATAATGCCAATTAAGTGTGTAGTGATATATTGTTGCAGTGGATATAAAAGCATCAAATACAAAAGTGAATCCTCGCAAATAAAAAAACAAAGAAAATAGCGCATTTTTCCGGATGCTTTAAAAAGACCTGAGTTATGAAAAAAAGGATTAAGTTTGTTAATAGAAAGAATTGGTCCCATAGAGTATTCAGGTGTTTGTAGAAAATCCAAAATTTCTTAAGCATGGTGTTTGAATAACTCTTGTTTATTAACTAATTAATAGTTTGAATAACTCTTGTTTATTAACTTTATAAATCGTATACCAGCTATTTAATTAAATGATGTAATGAAAAAAATTCCACTTTCTCTGTTTTAGTCTATTCCCAGGACCATCAGGAAAAACGGTATTTGCTGACAATCTTTTCACAAATGTATCAAGTTATACACAGTCACTTGAAATAGCTTTAAAACTGGGAAAGCTGAATGAACTGTTGAAAGATCATTTTATTGTATAGGAAAAAAAAATTATATATTATAAGTGATGATTTCCTAAAAAATATTTCACAGTTCTAAACTATTTATTCTTCTTTATAATTTTAAGCTACTATTCCCTCTAATTTTAAGCTATTATCTCCCTTTTTTCCATTTCAATAGACTTATTGATCCAATCTAGTTACTGCTGGTGAAATATCATTGCATCTTCTCCATAAAGTTTGCAGATAAGAAGTGGAAGTTTACGTAAGGAACATAAACTCATATTTCAAATTGAGCTCTTTTTTTTTTTTTTTTTTTTTTGGCTTGGTTGGGAAAAAGCATTGAATATTTTGTTGTGAAACCATGACCACAGTTTTTTAGATTTTTAAGGAACATTTCAAAAATGCGCAAAAAGAGTTTAAAGACAATAACAAAAAATTTTACTAAAAAGTAAAGGAATCTGAATGAAAAAAAACTTACAAAAATAAAACTCAACTAAAACAAAACAAAGGTTATAATTGTGTGAGGAAATATATCATGTTGGACCTCAAAAGAAGCGAATTTGTATAAAATTTTTTAAAATAATCATTATTTTATAAAAAACATTGAGAAAAACAAATTATAATAATTTTAGTTTTAAAATGTCATTTCCTAGACAGTGAAATTTAAAATAATACTTTTTTTATAAAATAATGATTATTTTCAAAATTTTATATAATTTCGCTTTTTTTGAGACCCAACATGATATACATTTAAAGAACTATTTTTTTGATAATTATAGGGACCCGTCTGATGTCGATTAAGAGTCTTGAACTGATTTTTTTTTCTGAACTTTTTTTAATTCTAGTATTATTTTATTATATAGAACACATTTAGAGGGTGAGAGCACTCATTTAAATTTTTTTTTTTTTAATGACTACTCGAGTATACAAACATATATGAAGTCCATCTCACATCAAAACAAGTCAATAGTTTAATTAAGTTTATTTCATGATCATAATGTTATTGCATTTTTTTCTTTGCGCATCTTTTATTTGTATATGTGTGGGTCAGTTTTCCTCATATTTCTCAAAATCAATTTACGCGTTTAACAAATGGGCTCCACATACACAGGCTCAGAATAGGCAGAGATATGGACAATGTAATCGGATGATTTTGAAAGAGAGACATGTTAAAATCAAAATAAATGTCGAAAAGCGTATTGAATATTAAAAGTGAAATTGTATAATATTATAAAAATACAAAAAATACTAACAGAAAAATTATGATTTCTATCGAATTTTGTACATTAAAAGATTTCTAATGTACAAGATATTATCCTAAAACTATTAAATTGATTAAACTTGACTATGCTGTGGTTCTCATACTATAGATTTTTTAATAATTCTATATTTTACCCAGTAATTTCAATAGAATATTAATAACTTGGTATGACTTTTTCACATTAAGTTCCCATTAATCTTATCATTTAACTAAAAAGTTATTTAAAAAATTAATAAAATATTGCGTAATTGCTTTCTAGAACTTTAGCCAATTATACTCTCACATATAAATTATAAACATTACTAAATCTTTTTAAGTTTGAGAATTTTGCTTATTGGTTTTTATAGCTAGCCCAGGTAATTTGCAACATTCTCGAATTAAAAGCGAAATGATTTGGATTGTCCTTTTAATAAACAGATTACAAGTTTTATAAAATACATTTTAGCATAATAAACTATTAGAAAAAATCTATGACTTGATGGCCTCAGATTTGTTTTGATATTGTTAATTAATTATCAAAAGGAATAACTCTTAATATACCATGCCTTTATGGAGAACTAAGAGGGCCATTCATAAATAATGTCAGTAAATAAAGGGGGAGAAGGGGTGCTGAAATGTTTGACAATACATTTTTCACAAGTTGATGCTTGTGCAACCCCCCCCCCCCTCCACGACGACACCGTGTCGTCGGCCCTGTTTATATTTGTTATGTTATCATATAAAATTATTTTACATTAAATACTCCTAACGAAAAAAAAAATATCTGCTCTAGAAAAATGGAAAAAAATTAAACTAAAATGTATTTCATATTTCCAAAATTTATGAATAATTTAAATACGTAATTGTTGGTATAACATAAGTAGCAGGGGCCGACGCAACATTTTTTGATGTTTGAGATAACATTCAGACATGGAGCAAACTCCAAATATTTATATGTTTGTACTTATGTAAAATAAGGATGCTTTGCTAAAAATAGTGGTGATTGGAGTCTGGGAACAAAAAACCCTAAAATTTTTGTGACATCTATGCCAAACGTGAAAGTAACAAGTAGGACAAAACACTTTTTTATTATTCTTAACTAAATTTATATTCATTGATAAATTTTAAATTTCACACAATAATCTTTTGGTATTATAAAATTTTAGCTTTATAAAATTTGTAACCCCTTCAAATTGAGGGGGTTTAAATTTTATATAGTCAGAATTTTTTATAGCAATTGATATCGAATTATTTAAATTTCAATCGATTAAGAGTAATTTTTACTTCAACCGACTAGTCTGTATTTTAAACGGTTATTTTTTATATTTTGCTCTATAAGCGCAGGGAAATACATTGACTGATGTTGGCATAGGTGCAGCGTACATTCATCGACTGAGACTTTTGGCTTAGACTGACATTCTTTTAATTAAAAGAATGTCAGTCTAAGAAAATCTTTTAATTAAAAGAATGTCAGTCAAAAAAAAAATAGTTTCTTTAAATCAAGATTATTCATAATTTTTTTTTTTTCAAATTATTAAAATTACCATGCTTTCATTCACATTTTTACAACATTCTATTTAGACTTGTTAAATCAGTTCGAGAAGCTAAAAAGGGAGACAAAAACGTTACTCCTGAAAGTTGGAACATTATGTCGCAACAGCCTTATTCAACAAATATAGTTGTGCCCTCTAGTACTCCGAAAAATCCTTTTCAAAATGACTCTTTGAATGTTTCAGTTGATACTTCAGGCTTTTCTACTGAAAATTGCCAAGAAACTATTTCATTAAATCAGAACGAATTGCCGTTTGACTATGGATCACTTAATGCAGAAAATGAATCTAATATGCCTCCCCCTCCTTCTTATGATGCTATAGATAATAATCCGGCTCCTCCGAGTTATGATTTTTCTATTACCAACTATGATTCTATTGAGCAAAATGAACTTTTTGAAGACAACATGGTTCGATTACAAAAAAATGGTCGCAATTTACTTTTAATTTTGGAAAAACACATAGTTTATTCTGCTTTTAAGTTTTCTTTTATTTCTCAACGAAGTCTTTGGTTGAATGCAGTTTGCAATAGTAACTGGACTGGTCTTTTGCATTGTCTTCAAATATTAACTAGTAATGTTGATGGTTCATTTTATAGACCAAGCCCACTAGATATATCTTTAAGTCCTACTTCCCTAGAAACTGATTTACTAGAGGATGAAATAGTAGAAGGTGAAATGCCAAAGATGTACATTAAACCTACCAAAAAAATGCTGGAACAGCTTTCTAACGATTTACGCATTAAAGCCATTCAAAATATATCTGAGCTAGAACCTCAAGGCGATAAGTGGCGCCAACTTTTTGAAATACTTTTACCAACTATATCTGTTATTAAAGAATGGAAATATGAACCTGGACATCCGTTTACGCTTATTTTAAATAAGCCTGCAACTGGTAAAATAGTTGAAATTGGTGAGGGTGGCAATAAATTAGCAATAGGTGCCACCGTTACTATTAATAAGAAATTAATTGGAACAATAAATAATGAAACTCTAACCTTCAATCCTGGTAATGAGCTAGTTGGTAAGAAAGGACCAGTTGCTGTTCGTGTCAAAACAATAGTATTACTTCAAAAGAATAGTTGCTGGTATATCGAGGCAAATGGGAAAAAGGTTAAATTTGATGTTGCTATAGCATCGTGCAAAAAAGTTGAATGGTCTTGAATTCATAAGTGCATCTTGTGTAAATTGAGTGTAAAATGTTTGTAGCTAGTTTTTTTAATTAAGCAATTTTTATTTTTTTAAATACTTATAATTATGTATTTTATAACTATTTGTAAAATAATATTTAAAATATTTATGTCTTTACACTTTTGTAAAATTTTTGATAAATTTAATTGCATTTTTTAACAAAGTGATTTTACATCTACATATATAACATTATATATATATATATATATATATATATATATATATATATATATATATATATATATATATATATATATATATATATATATATATATATATATATATATATATATATATATATATATATATATATATATATATATATATATATATATATATATATATTACATATTACATATTACATACTATTGCATTATGTATTTCTGTATATATTATATTTTAAAAAAAGCGCTTGATGTCATGATCTCAGGAAATTTTAGGGGGAAGGGAGGGATTAATAGTACTTTTTATTGGTATTCACTTGAGAAAACCCAATTTCAAATTTTAGCATTTAACTCCATTAAAAAACCTGAAATATATAAACATCTAGTGTTGACATTCATCGTTGTCACTTTTCTACAAATGTATATTGGTGTTAATGAACGGTTTGCTATTTGAATAGAAAAAAATCTTTGCGATTTTTTTGCTTTACAAACATTTATAAATATTCTCTGAATATAAAAAAAACGAATTTACTCTTTCTATAAAGTAATATGATATATTTCACGCAAAATCGCTATACCTTTAAAAAAAGGAGAAAAGGAAGGCCGTTTTTTTCTTGTGGCTCCTGATGAACAGACTTTTATCTGGATTCATAATTGAAATGGTTCATCAAACCCTGAAGCAATTAATTTACTCTAAGATCCAAGAGTCCCAACTGGCATTTGTGATTAGTGTTGTTCCAACTTTAGGAGACTTGAAAGGAAAGCTTCATAGGAGCTTACTTAACCCAACTCTTAACAAGCTTCAAAGCTTGTTAAGAGTTGGGTTAAGTATGCTCTATTTATTTTATAAAATTTGGCCACAATAATAATCGCGCATAATGAAATAAAAAAGAAATTTTTTTTTTCTGTATTAGCAATTCAATTAAATATTTTGCTTAATATTCAATTAGTATTTGAAATGACAACAAAACAGCTGCAAGTGCGTGATGCAATTTTGAACGTTTTGATGAAAAAATTTAATTTTCAAATGTAAATTGATTACCAATTGTATAAATTGTTGAAACTTATAAAAATACTGCGATTAAAACGTTAAAAAAATTATTTTTTTATAACACTAAATACAATAAATAGAAAGCCGAGTTTGGTTTTTAAATGCAAAACTCAGACAAAAGGGCTTGATTATCAAGAAAAACCATAAGATCAATAAAACACAAGTAACTCTTAAAAAAAAACTCATCCCAACAAGAAGTTTAAATGTGACCATATATGGCAATTGCATGTTAACCATTTATTTACCACTCTCCTTTATGGGAAGGCTTTGGTGCGGCCCACATGTGACCATAATGTTTATACCATTAAAACCACACTAAATAAGAGTGAACGCCACACTTCATTTGTGCGTGAGTTTCATGTGGCCCACGTGTGGAAAGCATATGTTAACCATGTATGTACCACTCCTTTTTATGGGATGGCGTTGGTGCGGCCCACATTTGATTATAAAGTTTCAATCGTTCTCACCACACTAAAAAAAAACGAAAGCCACACAACGAAAGCCAACTAAAAATAGTTTATTTTTATTTATTATTTAGTTGATACAAAGAAAAAGTTCGTTTACTAAGTGGTAGTGTAAATTTTTTTAATGATAATAATGTATGAACTTTAAAAAATGACGCGCTCTATGTAATAGCTACTAAACTTACTTGCAATAAACTTTACAAACGCCTCAATAGAATATTTGTTTGACCGTTTTCCAGAGCGTCAACAGTTCATCTGTAATTCATCCGTTATGATGACATTCAAAATCTTTTGTACTATGTCCGATATGCATTTTTCACCTGCTGTTGCTAGCCAGTTAATCTAAATATAGAAAACTAAACTTTTAATAATAGTTGAGTTGCATTTATGCTATATTATAAATCAAAAGTAAATAATCAATACTAAAAACACAAAACTATATAAATACACATATATATACACGGGGGTCAAAGTAGGGGGGAACGCCTTCTTCTTTAGTTGACAAATTACGAAATCGTTCCACCATCGCGTTTTTAATTTTTTTTTTTTTTCTCAAAGCGATTCATTGATTTTATTAAAGTTGATCATTCTTGTTTTTGCGCAAGCTATTTTAATTTTAATTATTTTAATATAAGACTCTGCGAGGGAAAACTTTCGATTTTTGTGTTTTGCTTACAATTAAATTTTAAGTAGCGTAATTTACGAATGATTCGAAAGAACTTAAAACTAAGCATCTGCGTCTCAAAACGGTACAAGACGAAACGAGACGAAATTTCGATAAAACCGGTACGAAACAAAACAATTTATATACAATTTCGCAAAAAACGGTACAAAACGTAACAAATTTTTTTGTTTCATGAAAAAAAATGCGGTACAAATCGAAACAATAATTTTTTGTTTTGTAAAAACCGGTACGAAACGAAATAAGGTTAAACTAAATAAAGTACGAAATAACCGCTACGAAACGAAATAAAGTTAAACTTTTTAGTTTAACTTTCGTTCACGAAACATTAAGTTAGTGAGTAATTACCATTCTAAACGTGGTCACCATTCTAAAATAAGGCGTGAGTATGTTCCAAATAGATCAGCAAAATACTGGAACGAACTACCAGAGCAAATAACTTTGTACTCCACTGTACTTTCCTTAAAAAATAGACTAGACTTCTGGTTGTGGAATAAGTTTGGAACAAATATTTATAAAACTGGTTGTTTATAGTGGGGTGTTTTCCCTGCTCGGAGTATGTGTACATTCTATGTAAATTTACGGCTACAACTATAATAATAACAATAATAATAATAATAATAATAATAATAATAATAATAATAATAATAATAATAATAATAATAGTAATTAACGCGCATTTGTTCTGCTTGAATGTTATAGTTCATGAATTGCTCGGGTTGTGAGAATTGTAAAATATTTGTTTAGAGCGGGGGAATTATGAAATATTCCGAAAAACCGATGCGAAACGAAAAACGATTTTCTTGTTTCGTAAAAATACGGTACGAAACGTTAAATTTTTTTTTTATTTCTTAAAAACGATACGAAACGAAAATTATTGTTTTCTAGCGTGGCAAGCCGAATTTCCGAAAAGATACGAGGAGACGCAGATGTCTACTTAAAACGATTCTTATATTCAATTTTAAAAACTAAGATTTTAATGAATACTTTCCAGCAATAATAGTTTCAAGTAATTTAATGACATTAATTAAATTAAAAGATGTTAATCAACGCGGCTGAAGTTTTTCATGCTAATTATTTTTCATTTTATTTTATTTACTTTTTTTGTATTAAATTTTTGTTCATTATTGGCAATAAGTATTAGGTTGATGGATAATTATCGCACGTTTTTAAGCCCAACTATTATATAAAAATATTGATTAAAAAATGAATGCCGATTTTAAAAACATTTAGATACTGTATTATATAAAAAGATATAATTTATAATAGTTATTTAATAAGTAATATATAACAAAAAAATATTTTAAAATAAATACTGACTTCAAAAAACGTGTAATAATTATACATTAACTTATTATTTAATTTCAGTTTTTATTGAAGTTTAGAAAAACAGAAAAAGTAGTCAAATTTTTTGTTTTTCTGGACCTCCACTCTCCAAACTACATGTTAACATTGCGCTTGTCGGAGATACAGTTACTAGTTTTACTAGCTCGATAGCAACGAGTTGTTTACTATCATGGCTTCAACAACCATGTAGTCTAGTAACGAATTCTTTATCATCGATGTCTAACGATCACTTAGTTCAGCAGCCTCATCTGACAAAAATTGTAACGATGTGGGCAGCAATCATTTCCCTAAATGTTGGGCAATTAAAAATTATAATGAATTTAAGACCAAAAACAGTTTTTTATTATGCATCGATGGAAAGATTGGATGCTCTGTTTGCGATACAATAAAGACAGAAAATTATTCCAAGGAATGGATTGCATGCTCCATAATGGCAAAAATTGCGATTCGCAGTTAAAGTCATTAAGAAAGAAAATATGTAAGCAAAAAGTTTCTGAAGCCCATAGGCAAGCTTGCATACTTGTAGCCGTTATCCATTTCAAGTGCTTCATTGATACTCTTTATGCTTTGTATAGCACTCAGTCTTCAAAAAACAAGAGAGAGCTTTCTGCTGCAGCAAATGAGGTGGAAGTTTGTCTTTTTAAGATTGAGCGAATTCTCAGTACACGATGGGTTGCCTCATTATTTCAGACGGTAAAAGTTGTTTTGCACAATTTTAAAGCTTTACATTTGCATTTCATAAATTGATCTAACTTGTGACTCAAAGAAAAGATCTAAATTTAAAAGCCTTACTCAGAAACTTGCAAACGTGTCATTTCTTAAAAACCTGCATTAATGTATGATGCATTGTTAGAACTCAAATCAGCTTCAGAAGTTCTACAATTAAAAAATGTCACGCTCGCAAAAGCAGTTTACGTTATTTTTCGACTCATATATATATTCGAAGGAAGTATGTTTGGAGCAGGTCCAAAGTTTCTGAAGTCAAACTGGCCATTGGAAATGGTATTTTCCAAGATGTGATTATTTCAGAAGGTAGAAATCAACCTTTGATTGATCAGACCACTTTCAGCAGCTGGTAATAAGTTTTAAGTCACACATAGAACCTATTGATGAAAATCATATCATAACACAATCAGTGCAATGCTTCGAACCATATTTATGGCTACGAAATGAACAAAATGAAATACAAATTTCCCAAGAATATTTGGAAACTCTTCTGAAAGAATTATACAGTTTTCTACTTGAGAATTTTTTTATAACAAAACAGGAGTTTCGAGACTTCAAAGATCATTTTAATGGTCAAGAACTTGTATCTTTTTCATGTGAAAAAGATACAAGTTCTTGACCATTAAAATAATCTTTGAAGATTATTTTAATGGTCAAGAAAACCTTCCAAACGTTAGAGCGACTCAGATTGTCGAGATTAAAACGTCTGTTTTCTTCATCAATGATTATACTTGTAAGCAATGCAGAATATGAAAAGGACTTTTCAATTATGAACATCATCTGTACAGATGTACAAAGTATATTGTCAATAAAACATTTATCTTCATTGATGTTTATCAGCATTGAAGGTTCGCCGCTAAAAGATTTCCAGCCAAAAGAGTTTGCAAAAGAATGGGTGAATATAAGACGAACAGCTGATTGTGAGGAAGGCCATGTAGAAAAGAAAAGAAACACACCGAAGTAAAATCATTTTGGAAATTTCTATAGTGTTTTAAAACGCTCATAACACTTTGATAGTATTTACTATTGTATTCAATACTTATTTAATATTGAACATACTATTGTATTAAATACTTATTTAATATTGAACATAATTATTACTTGTTTATATTAATATGTTTATGACTTAACACCAATAATGAGCTCATTTCAATTTTTGTTTACTAATATGAGCCTTTTATTTAGGCATAAGATATAAGCAAACAATTGTGGTCAAAAATAGTAATTTTGGTCATCACCCGAGACCTCGAGATACAGCAACAAAGCACCGAATAAAAATGATCTATAATAATATAATTTAGAAAGCGGAGGGGTTATTCAGCATTCTGTTGAACACGCTTTGAACATTTTATGACCATTCCACTTGATTTCTTTTTCTATTTTAACCGTGTATAATAAATATAATTATATAATTTATTAGTAACTATTTATATAATAAATATTATATAACATTTAATTTTTAAAATTTTTCTATAAATTTTCAATTGAATTTCAAAGAAAGAGAACGGAAGTTTTACTTAAAAATTACAACAACATTTTGTTAACATTTTATTAATATTTAAGTAAAACTTACTAACAGTGAGGCCATTTCATCATCCTAACATTGCAACAACATGACATCAAAAACTTCTACGTTACTTGCTTTCTTAAATCAACTTTCATCAGTATGACTAATTGGCATACGTTCTATTAGATGCTTTATTTCTTTTCTTGTAGAAGTTACAGATTTTACTAAATCTAATCAAATATAAGTATTCCTAAGTATTAAAAAGAGAGATAAACTAATATATGTATTTGAACAGATTTCTCACTTTTAAGTAGGTTTTCAATGGAGGTCAATCTGTATTCAATTTTTGGTGTGAGCAATGTGAGGGGGTGGCAAAAACTCCTGAGTTGACTACAACAAAAACACACACAAATTTAGAAAATTTATAGTTTTCTAGTTTATTACATCTATACAAATATTTAATAATCTTTAATTATAGTTATACTACTTAACAACAAACAAATAAAAAATAAAACAAAAAGCTGAAGGTAAATTTTTTTCTTCGGGATCATTTAGTAATGACATAAAGCTTTCACTAGAATTTCCTTGGTGTTGTATCTCTCTCAAAACATTCTAGTCACTTTTCAAATTTTTATATCTTATATTAATGTTAACATATTTTAACTTAAATTATTTTTATCAAGAAACATGTTTAATACTTTAATCTTCTTAAATATGAATAGTCCAGTCATTAATGTTCAATGCCGTTAGTCGCTATTGTTCGATATTAGTAACGGTTCTGTATTCTGTAAAATACTCTAGCGCAAACAGTTTCCAATCTACTTTCGAGGCAAGCTGATCGTGATTATTTCAATTTGACCTTTAAAAAAAGTTAAATTTAAATAAGGAGATTAAGCTGTATTTACTTTTTAAACATTTGTATCAGATTTGTTGTGACGATTTTTCATTTTATTTACTATTTGTTTTATTTATTGACTTTAGTTTCACGCAAACTTTTATGGCTTTTCAATAAATATTTTAATTTAATTAATATAACTTATTAGATATAAATGAATTTTGTTCATAAATATAAGTTTGATATTGTATGCTTGTTTATTTACCTCTTAATATTTGCAGTAAACATTTGCTTAAATTTTTATTTATGTTAATTTTGTTTAGTTATTTAGATACTAAAAATACTAGCAGTATTTAATCCAGATTATTTTATACTAGATTTTTTATTTATTTTATCTGTTTATCAATATGTTTTTTATTTTACATTTGATCTGTTTATAGATATATTGTTGTAGCTACTACAAGGGGAAATGTTTATAATTGTTATGATAATTTTTCTTTTAATTTTAAGCAAGATATTTATTTGTAGTTTATTTTAAACTTTAGATTAATTAAATTATTTTACTCTAAAATGCAATTTAGAGTAGTACAAAAAGAGATAATAGTTTGAATGAGTTTTAATAATATGTTTAATGAAAACTATGACGCTGAAAAGGTGGTTAGGCTAGATGAAGTTTTGCATTTAGAAAATGATGTAAATGCTCTAAGGCGTGTTGAAAATAATCATCGCCGAAATGAAAGAAGCAGACTTGAAGAAATGAAGTTAATCGTCAGCAAAATGTAAGAAGAGCTGTTATATGACCTGAAGAGAATTTGAACCCAAATCTGGAAAGGTTGGTTAGGCGAGTTGAAAATAATCATCGCCGAAATGAAAGAAATAGGCTTAATCGTGATGTGGTTAATAATCTCCAAAATGAAAGAAATAGGTTTAATCGTGATATAGTTAATCGCCGCCAAAATGAAAGAAATACTGCTAGATCTGGAAGAATGTATTCTATAGCAAGAAATAATGCTATTCCAGATTATAATTATTTAGGAGAAATGAATCAAATTTGTCAGCACTGTGATGCTAAAAAATTTCCAGATGAAACACAGTTTCTGTTGCCATAATGGTAAGGTAGCTTTGCTTCTACTTTCACCATTTACACAAGTTTTACAGGATTTATTTACAGGGAGTTATGTAGATTGTAATGCTAATGTTAATTTTTTAAAACATATTTTAAAACTTTCTTTCGCTTCTTTTAAAGCACCTGTAGTTCAACGAATAAATCATGGGCCCCCATGTTTTAAAATATGCGGCCAGATTTATCATCGTGTAGGTATTTGGCCAGATCAAGATATTCCACCAATATATTCTCAACTATATATATATGATCCATTTGCAACAGTAAATTTTAGAATGCAACAACGTGGTAATGATCTTTGCTTACGTGATTTAATGTTTCAATTGCAAATTATAATTACTGAACAAAGTCCATTTGCTCTTGCATTTAAAAACATGGCTGAAGTAGAAGATGAAGAAATTCGTCAAGCGGCTATAGAAGGTCGCCAAGCTTCTGGTCTTTACTTAGAGGGGGTGATAGACGTCGCTATAATCTACCTTCACATGATGAAATTGCAGTTGTATTGGTTGGCGAAAATGGTGCTCCACCAACTTCCAGGGAAGTTGTTATTTACCCAAGAGGTCATTCTTTAAAAATTGTATCAAGTATGTCAGCCAACTTGGATCCTGTGATTTATCCTCTCTTTTTCCCAATAGGTGATGTTGTTTGGCATAATTAGTTAGTGCATAACCCTGAGCGTGCCACAATGGTTAGAAATCATGTTACATTATCTCAGTTCTACAATTATAGACTTTCTGTTAGGCAATTTTTCTGTTCATTATTTTATGGCAAAAAACTATTTCAGCAATATGCTGTAGATGCATATGTAAAAATTGAAGGCCAGCATCTTGCTTTTATCAAAAATAATCAAAATAAACTGAGAAGCGACCAGTATGATGCCTTACATGAACATGTTAACAACATTGCGAACGAACATAATGTTAGACCAGGGCGAATAGTTGTTTTGCCATCATCTTATGTAGAGCTTTAAACAAAAGTTTAAAGTTAACTAAATAAACCAAGTTATAAGTTACCAAAATCTTAAGTGTACAAATTATTAGGTGAAATTTGATTCATTGGTTATTATTCAATTATTTGGTAATCTGTCTCTTTAGACGCATCCCTCTCAATGAAGTAATTCTACATTTTGGCCACATACACTCGTTGCTTTCATTCAACTATTCATTTGGAACATACTCCTCAGTATTTTCATTTCGAAAATGAACTATATAAAACATATCTTTACACTGTAAATTATATAAGCAATATAAACTGTTTATGTACATTATATAAAACTCTAGGAATTAGAAAAAGTAAGGTCAGCAAATATCGTTTATATATATATATATATATATATATATATATATATATATATATATATATATATATATATATATATATATATATATATATATATATATATATATATATTATATATATATATATGTATATATATATATATATATATATATATATATATATATATATATATATATATATATATATATATATATATATATATATATATATATATATATATATATATATATATATATATTATATATATATATATATATATATATATATATATATATATATATATGTATATATATATGTATATATATACTTAATTATGTTGGTTACAATTTTCAAGCTGGTTGCAATAGTAAATATAAATTAAAGACTAATCCAAATATTCTATTTTACGTCCCTGGAAGTACCGCGCTCAACTTAATTTCTCCGCGCAGCGGTTTTGCTTGTCAAGGTTCGTGTTTCGGAGTTAAAGTGTTGAGAGAGGGTTGTACCACGATTTACAACAAAAAAAAAAAAAAAAAAAAAAATGAGTAGCCTCCTCGACTGTAGTGACCCCCTCGAGCCTTGGGGAGGTGAATAATTAAAAAAAAAAAAAAAAAACTTGAAAATGAAATACAACAGCCTGCAAATTAAAATTCATAAAATAATTTTCATAAAAAGAGTTCAAAAAAAAATTGATGCAGAACCAGGTTGCCAATAGAGCTTAAAGTTGCTGCGAACAAAAATTGATAATAGTTAACATTTAACACTAGGTTGATGTTTGTAGGACCGATGACATATATATTCTTTGTCTTGAAGTGGCATGAATTTTAACATTGATTTTAGATCTTTTACTTTTTTATTGAGATTTCTTTTTTTTTTTTTAAGCACTTTCGGTTGCACAAACTTTATATCATTTGCCATTTTTTTATTATTTGAATTTCGTTGTCAAGTGTTATAGTTGAAAATATTTTCCAACTTCCATTCAGAACTAAACTCAGTTTTGCATTCAACACTCCATGGCTTATCAGCTGAGTATTTAAGTATCTTTACTTTAACATATGGAACATTTTTCAGCAATGAATAATTCTTAGCAACGGTTTGAAAGTCCATCATCTGCTCTTCTTTAGTTTGAATCAACTAGATTGGATTCTTTCGAGGTATGTACTTTAGAATTCTGACAAGGCCAATTAGACTGTAAACTTCAGCTACTTCCATATTTCTTTCAATAATACTATGTAAACTGTCTATCTCCTGGATAACACTATGTCCTGGCTCACAAAATTTCTGAATGATTGTTTTAATTTGTGGATGGTTTTGCATAAAAATTTTTAAAGCAATCGTCATAAAACATTTCTATTCTGCGTTACACAAGAGTCACTCCATAAACAAGCTTCAGTTATTTGAGATTGTGACATCTGCAACTATTTGATCAAGTATAACAAGAAGAGCACTAGCTTTATTATTTCCTGTTCGGCCACTAGTAAGTTCTGACCAGACTGCACTATAACTTTTTTTTTTGATATAGAACATTGTGCAGTCAAATGAAAAACTGTCAACTTTTGTTTGTAAAAAAAGTTGAAAACATTTGCTGTTGGTAGGCTGAAAACATTTTTCATATCGAAGCAAATAACACACTTGCTTTTATCAAGCCTATCACGATTACATTCTTCATTAGTTTCAGCTTTGTTTTTAGTGTGAATTTCATATTATATTTTTCATTTGAGTTTGGTGAAGGATTCATTTTCATAACTTTCACATTTGTCACATCTGTCTTTTTTTAGTTTATGAACTTCAACTCTGTGTTAAATATTGATCTATTCATACTTTTTTTGCAGGAATAACAGAGTCAGAAACAGAGTTTTCACAATATTTCTCATACAAAACGGTCATATTCAGATTTTCTTGAATGTACTCTTTGTTTGTACTTTTACGACAAAAGTAACTGTCGTTTCTTGGAATGCTTTGAATATGCTTATGTACAGAATCTTTAATGTAATTTGGAACAGTTCGACTAGGTACTTTACCTCTTTTATACTGTTGAGGTGCTTCTGTTGTTTCTATAGTAATTTCTAATTCTTTTTTCATCAATATTTAGAGTACACAGATAAAATTCTTTACAAACACGTATAAGTTCATCAGAAACAATAAAGTAATATGAATAACTATGTTTTTTCAATTCTGAATTTTCAGCTAGACGAAACCTTTTTTTGTTCTCTACATTTGTAGTTTGGAGGTAAAAAAGACGCTTTTCTTGATCATTGAAAAAAAATGCTGTTTGTGCAAAGTTTCTTGATCAGCAACGCTAATTTTTAATTTACATTTAAAACGACATTAAGTGTGATCTCTCTTACAGTCTTTTATAAACTTCCCCAGTTGTATTTTGCCATTTGAGGCTATGTATTGCTGACCACTCTGTTTAAGTTTTTTTCTTATTTCTTTTTTCCAGGAGGTAGGGTCTCTTTTTCGTTTGCGTGTTCAATTTTTTCCAGTTCTCCCGTGTTTTCTGCTACTTTCCCTGGCATCTCTGTTCGAATCAGTTTGATTAAGGAAATCATCATTTTTATCAATATGTTGTGATTGAATAACAGAGATAGATTCAGAGTAGTTGAATTGAAGATTATGCTGTAATCTCGTTTCTTTATGTTTCTAAATTATTAAATATTATATATACAATCAGCGTGTAAAATAACGTCCGGTCAACGGTCAATGACCGACCAAAATGAGTAAAATTGCTATTTTAACCTCCCAAAATGAACTTTTGCCGGTCATGGTTGACCGGTTAAAAAATTATCAGAGTTTTAAAAATCAAGATTTGAAAAATAATCAGATTATTATTTGGAAAAAGCATGCGCTAACTTATCATATAATCATTAAAATTTTGAAAAAGTTTATTAATTTATCAAACTTCCTTTAAGAAATAAAATGAAAATCTGCGCGCCTAATTTTAAACTATTTAACATTGGCGTGTAATTTTAATGTTAGTTATTTGCAAATTTAAAAAAGGAATACTTATTTGTTAATTATCAAATTTTAAGTTATTTTTGTAATTATAAAGTTCAGTCATGAAGAATTATTACGAAGATTAAAATGAAAACAAAGAAAATAGTAAAAATGTTGACCGTTTAAAAAAAACAGTTAACCGTGGTTCCAATGGTTAGCTGGTCAAATTGACCGCTCGCCTTCGATTTCTTATTTTACACTCTGTATACAATAATAATAATAACAATATTAATATTTATAATATATTAAATATATAAAACTAAGTAGTAAGCATTAACTAGTCTAAACAATTCGTGATTTTATAATTTAGAGAACTCTCTATTTATATTCGTACCTTAGAGATACTTCATCAGTAGTTTCATGGTACGCCATTTTATTGATAACAAATAAAGTTTTAGCGGTTGTTTAACAGCGTAAAAAAAGTCTTGGCTAATCTGATTGGTCAAAGGACATACAGCCAGTTGATAATAACAGTCGTCACCTTTTTGGACATACGGCCTTCTGGTTCTTTTAATTTAACCCTAAGTTTGATGATTTTTGTGACTAGAATTACTCAAAACATAGATTTCATCATAGAAAACATTTTTTAGTAAAAAACAGGAAAAAAGTCAAAACTGGATATACGGCCTCTTGGTTCTCGGCTGACGAAATGTTGTTACCGAAATCCCCATCATCCGCCCGCCGTTAAACTGTTTAAAAAAAAATTAGGTACCAAAAGTGCTCGTAAAAATAGGGTATGTGCTTCTAAAAATAAAGCAATGAAATTAGGCAGGTGCATAAAAAGTGTGTAAACTTACAAATGAGAGTAGGTTAGAAAATTTACTGATTACTTTTTCAAGGTTTACTAAACGTATTACCAAGTTTTGTATGTAAGTAAACTCACTTATAAAGTTTGTCATTATAATAAAAAGACCAATAGAAATAAATTTTAATCAATTTAGATTTTAAAAAATATCTATGTTAATACAAAATTTTAAAAAATACGGCTACAAAATACCATCCTACCATACTGCCTAAACGCAAAAGTCAAAAAACGGAGAACAGTGTTTTGGTATAAAACTCGGCACCGTAAAACGCAAATTTCTACGTACCTACCTATAAAAGTAAATCAATTCAGGGTTACCACTACTATAACTGAGGGAAAAAAATATGTATTTTAAGGAGATTTAAGGAGAAATTTTTCTAATTTTTAAGGAGATTTGGTTTTAAAGAGAAAAACAGTTATAAAAAAATAAAGACAATTAACGAGAAAGTATTACTTTTAAACAAAATTTTCATCCAGCTATTGTCTTGTAAATGGTCTCTTAGGCAAAGACTTTAGGGGTAGGAAGAAAGTTTATGTTGACCAGCCAAGCACCTCCTCTTCATCTGAACTTCATTCAGAACTTTTTACATGCACAACATGTCTATGCTCGACATATCCAAAACACGCTAATTTTCCATAAAGAACTTCATCCGGTATGATCACTATTTCTAATCTGTTTGAAGATGATAGCTTCTTTTCTTGTCTTGTAAAAACATCATCAAAAACCAAAAATTTATTTGATAATCATCTTCTCTGTTTTTTTTAAATCCCGGACATCATGTGATGCATAACTTTCTTTAAATAACAAACCACTTGCTGATTGAAGCAGAAACTACTCTTACTCCATTTATTGAATGATTATTGAATTCTATTCATATATATAATAAATTATTGAATTCTATATGAGAATAAAAAACCTTGAACTCTACAATTGAAGACAAAAAATCTTAATCTCTATTAAATTAGATCTAACTATTGTACAAAACAGAACTGATGCTTTAAGTACATTATCTCGACTTTTATGATTTTATGCTGGTTAAGAACCGTATATAACATAGGTCTGAAAATCAACGGAAAGGCGCTCTAATTTGACGTCAAAGTTTAAAAAAATGTCTCTATAAACGCTAATATTCGCCTTTTTTTCTAAATTTTATCAAAATTAATTACTATTAATCTTGCGCAATAATTTAGCTGACTTCCGTCAGCGTTGAAATTAATATTTAAAAATGCTCCAAAGAAATTTAAAAAGAACCTTAGAATGTGGACTAATGATTAGCTAATTAATGTCTGGTAGCTATTTTTAACGATATCGTTTTGTGTTAACTGGGGTGTAAGGTTTTTTTGGAGTTATGAAATTAAAACTTAAAAAAAACAAAAACTATATTAGAACAAGAGCTAATTATCAACAAGAATGTCCACACCACCCTGATTTTATTTTCTACTATTTTAATTCAAGATATGTTCCATTCAATTATTATTTTTTTTAATCTGTTCGATTTATATTAACATCACCAACACATTATGCCGTCATCAAATACATCAATAAATATACTGAAGTATATTAATTATTTTTAACTATTTTTTGCAACGGTTTATATAATTATTTATCGAAACAGATCCAATTTAAAAGCGAATAAACATTTACAAAAAATCAATAAAAATGAATTCATTTAAAGCGTTTTGATTCCAGCGGTTCTCTACGACAAGACCTCAAGGACATCTTCGAGTTTCCGCATTCTTTATTCCTAATTTTTATTGTTATATTTATTGTTATATTTCTATTGTTAACGAAATCTTTATTGTAAATATTATTTATTTCTTTTTTATGTCTTACGTTTTATTTACATAAAGTTATAATAGAAATTGTAATAATGATTGTAATAAAGAATATTAAAAAAAATATTATAAAAAATTTTTTATAATAATATTATATATATATCATATATATATATATATATATTATATATATATATATATATATATATATATATATATATATATATATATATATATATATATATATATATATATATATATATATATATATATATATATATATATATATATATATATATATATATATATATATATATATATATATATATATATATATATATATATATATATATATACAGTGGTTTTCATAAATTTAGGCGCACTCATATTTGAGAATAGAAATTTTTAGTTTTTTAACGATAAAACAATGACGAAAAAAGATTTCGGTTAAGTTTTTTTTCTATTTATTAGATAAATACATACAGAATACAAAATTTAATAAAAGTTTACAAAAAAAAAATGAAATACTAAGTAATAATTAGGTACAACTACATGGTATTAAAAAAATTAGACAAAAAAAATTATTCATAAATTTAGATGCACGATACATTAGAAGGCGTAATTTATGAACCAATCAATATTTTGTGTATCCGCTTTTTGCTTTAATACAACTAAGAACTCTTCTAGGCATAGAATCAACAAGATTTTTGCGCATCGCTTCTAGGACCCCATACCAGGTCTCCTTAAGGAATTCCTTCAGCTGACCAAGTGTGGAAATTTGAACCTTTGCTAATTCACGGTCAATCCAAGCCCAAATGTTTTCAATCAAGTTCAAATCAGGTGAGTATGGAGGCTACGGTATTGTCATGATATTATTATTGTTGAACCACTCCTTTGTATATTATACAGTATGTGCAGTAGCGCCATCTTGTTGAAGTTTCTATGGTTTATCATTGAGCATAAGCAGGTCAATTGATGGAATTAGGTTGTTTTCCAGTACTTCTACGTATATTCTGGAGTTGATTCTTCCGGTGTATGTTTGGCACATACCAACACCTTTGTAATTGAAGCATGACCAGATTCCTATCGAGCCTTCTCCACTTTGTACAGTCGGTCTAATGTACCTGGCGTAATACTTTTCGTGAGCCGCTCTTTTGACTGTTATGTTAGATTTGCGATTGATAAGCTCAAAGTTACTCTCATCACTTCACATAATGTTTTCCCATTGCTCTATTGTCAAATACCTTCTTTCACGACACCATTTTAGTCTCCTTTGTTTATCATATGGACGTAGAAGCGGTTTCTTCAAAGCAGTGTAGACTCCAATCTTGTATTTGATAAGTATTCGGCGGACTATGCTTTGATTTCGCGTTGTATTGAATTCTGTGGTCAATTCTTTGTAACTAATTCTTGGATTAGCTCTGACAGCTCTAAAACGAAAACTGTCGTCCATTCTGGTCGTTGGCAAGGGTCTACCTGGCCTCGTTTTCTCGCTGGCACCACCAGTGTGAAGAAAGTTTTGTTTCGTTCTCCGAACGCATTTCTCAGAAAATCCAATTAACTTGGCAATTTCTCTATTACTTTTGGTTCCTTCTTTGATGTACCTTGAGTGATACGTCTTTCGCCCATTTTTCGCGTCTTTTTAATGAAAAACTAACAACTTTTGTTTATTTATTAAATAATGATTAACTAATTCCAGGTAAGTCATATTTATAAAAGGTTTTTTGACAAAATCAATTAATTTAGGCCTATTAATGAGAAATATGGGAAAAAACTACTAATTAACTATCAATTAACAAGATAAGACTTTTTTGATTGTGCGTCTAAATTTATGAACAAAATAAAATCAAGCTTATCAATTAACTTTTTTGTGTTAATCGGTATAGAATGAGAAATAAACATCCTGTAAAAAAATGAAGGTACTCTATAATAGAGTTTTACTTCCACTTTTAAATTATATAACAAACATAGCGGTAGCAGTTTTATTTTATTTTTATTTTGAGTATTTTCTTACATAAATGAAAAAAAAAATGAATGCGTCTAAATTTATGAAAGCTACTGTATATATAAATAATTAATTGCAGATTCAATCGTGTTAGGGATAACTTTGTTGTATCAACATGTAAACTAAACAACAATCATGATGTTTCTCATGACTTGATTAGATTGTATCCAGAACATCGTTGTCCATCAGGAAAGCTGGCTGACTACCTTGATAATATGTTATCCGTTAATGGAAATGCTATTGTTACACAAGTGATACACAGAGAAGGTTTTGCAGTACGTGTTAAAGATATCCATAATCGAATGTAACTCCTTGTAAAATCAGGTCTGTATATTAAGTTTAGTCTTTAAGTATTACTATTCCATTTTCAATGTTTTATATTTAAAATTGTTTGGATCATTAGGTTCAACACTGACTGCAAGGCTGTGAAATACACTTTCATTACCAAATGTTTATTTCCGGCTCTTAGAAACAGATGATCATCAGTTTTAAGGCTCGTTTTTCCAAACTGATAGTCAAAGAACATTATTCTCCAAATATGGAGAAATGATTCAGATGGATGCCACATATAAGGTTCAAAAATATGTATTTAAATGTTTCAGTATCATATCCATCATTTCATTTTTTATACAATTAACTTACATTTAAGTTATTTAAATTAAAAGTAAAAATGATGTATAACATTTTTTTGTTATTTATTTTAAAACATAATATGCTTTATATGTTTTAAAATAAATGACAAAAAATTCCTAATTTCCAATTACGATACGAAATAAAGAAATGTATTACAATACAATATTACGATACAGTTTAATATTTCTACTCTAATCTTTTGTAAGTTATTTTTTATCTAATATTTTGTAAGTTATAAATATTTCTATTCTAATTTTTTGTAAGTTATTTTTATTTATTTAAACCAATTTAAAATGGTTTGTATTTTGCATTTGCATTAGTAGTGATTTACACAACAATTTCCTTAACTAATATGCCAGGGATTATTTTCAAGCTAGAATTTAGTTGTTAATGTTGAACTAACATATTTTTTAGACGAATAATTATTGTTACCCTCTTTTCACTTTGTTAGAGAAAGACTGTGATGGTGTTGGACAGCCAATTGGATTTGCCATTATGACAAGTGAAGATTAAATTTACATTGATCAGTTTCTGGAATATTTTGAAGAATGCAATGATTTATTACAAACGCAATGTGTTGCAGAAATTATGTAAATTATTATTATTATTATTATTATTGTTATTGTTATTTTAAACATAATGCCATAAAGAAATGTTGGGATAGCGTTAAAATTCTTATATGCTACTTCCATATCCTACATGCCATTGACCATCATAAATTTATTACAACTAGATCAGAAACAAAATGTTTTCTTGTAAGTACATAATTTAGATTTTGCTATATGAGAGGTTGTAGTTACACTGCAATTTTGTACATTGTCACTGTTTTATTCATTATTATTATTATTATTATTATTATTATTATTATTATTGTTATTGTTATTTTAAACATACTTTTATTATTATCTATTTTAAATGTTAATAATATAGTTTTTTTGTGTACTTTTATATAGCTATTTTATTATTACTTTAGTATACACAAGAGATGCTAAATGCCAAAACTGAATCAGAGTTTGATTTAGCCATCAATAGTTTAAAACAAGTACCATGTTTTTACAACTATAATGTTGAAAGTTGTATTCCATAACAGCTTTTGGTCGCAAATCCATCCATCACCTTAGCAATCAACAAATAATTGTATAGAGAGGTTTGAGTTTTTACTAACTTGTGTTTTCTAGAATTTTTTACTTTTTTCTAATTTATAAATGTTTACCATACTTGGCATGAACATCATACAATAAATATTATTGACATTAGCCTTTGTTAAATTTTAGCTTCCATTCTACTTTAAAGAAATTTATTGCTTCTTCAAGAATTAACATTGATTTATTAGTGAAAAATTTACTTGAGATGTCATCTGTCAGATCAATGGAATCTGCTCATCACGATTTTAAAAATACATTGATGAATGCTCTCTACAAATCTTCTCCTTTAGTAGAGAAGTATTTTAAGATATATGCTATTCTTTTAATTTATTGCAAAATGAGGTAGAAATGGCCTATAAATGGCCACCATGGGTACACTGTTAACAAAGTAATTTCACTCATTAACTAGTCATTAATTTATACATTATGTTTCTTATTTGTTATAAAAAACTTGTTTTGTAATTAATTTTATATATATATATATATATATATATATATATATATATATATATATATATATATATATATATATATATATATATATATATATATCTGTGTGTGTGTGTGTGTGTGTGTGTGTGTGTGTGTGTGTGTATATATATATATATATATATTTATATATATATATATTTATGTATATATAGATAGATTTATATAGAAATATATGTAGAGATATTCAATGCCATACACCATAACACTACAGATGCATGTGATGTATAACTTTCCTTAAGATAACAAAACTAACTCTTATTTGTTATTGTATATTTATAAGAATAGTATTATGTTATAAGTAAAATGTTTAGATATATTTTGAAATATATTATAAATATATACTTTTGTTTGTGTGGCTTTCTTGCCTGCTAATCTGATATGTTTAACTGGACAATTTTTGTAAAAAGCTCCATATTTAGCTAATGGCACCCGGGTTATTTATTTATTTAACTTATTACTCCAGGTAGGTTTTAATTTTTTACCAGTCTTGGTAACTGCTTTGTGTTAATAATTTTTATTTAAGATATTCCATTAAAAAAAAAGATTATTTAAATAATATTAATGTAAGTGGCTATTGTCTACTAATAGTAAACGACCAGGGTTGACATTTGATTGGGGCCAGGTTTGATAAAATATAGCCGGGGTCGGGTTTGTGACGGGGGCTGCATAAACATTTATATATCCTAAAGTATTTTTTTTTTTTGTATTCAAATGTATATTAACGTATATTAAACGTAATTTGAATACCTTTAATAACAAAAATATATATTTTTTTATTACAACAAACTGGTACTAGAAATTTAAAAAACAAGAAAACCAGACTCACTGCTTGCTTGAATTTAAAACGTAATAGCAAATTCAAATGTTTCAATGAACCATAGTCATAACATTTTATTTATGCATGAAAAAATAGTTATTGGTATTCTTCGTTGCCACAATAGCGTGTAATCGCTTGCAGTCTTTTGTAATTATTTTGTAATTAAATGCCATTTGTTGTTGTTTTTGCTAAGACTTTGTAATAGTAACTTTATTAAGCTATGTGATTTATGTATAAGGAAAGTTAATGTTAATTATAAAATTGAACTCACAATAAATTTGAAATATGAAATTTACTAGCTTGCGTTTACTATTTTGAAAACATTTTTTATTTTTCTATTTTTAAACATTTCTTTTGATGACAATTTATTACATGATGGTGTAATGGTTTGTCCATAAAGGACGTCAAACAGAATTTAAATAATAATTAGAAATAGAAGATCGCTATATTACTTAAAAAATCCCTATATTACTTTAAAAATCGCCCTTTAATGCCCACCACTGAAAAAAATATATGTTCAAAAGAATACTCTTAACATGAAAGCAGCAATAAAATATAAAGATTAAAAGTAAATCAAGTATATTATTCTTAATAATAACTAATTAATACATACTGATTATTTTATAATGTAAAAATATATAATTCTGAATATATCTTTGGAAACTGGAGCTTAATTTGCTTTGTGGCTTTGAAACCACATTTAATTTTGGGTTGATTTCATATTCATCTTCAATAAATGTTACAGACTGTATTTTGTTTTATTTTTGGCGCTGTCCAATCAATGTATGCAGCGCTAAAGTGGAGTAAAGGTGAGTTTCCACTCATCCGTTTTTTTACAGGAACGGGATAAATAATCACGTGAGCATGCGCAGTTTTACTTCGGACAAATTAAAACTTATAATACGCATGCCCACGTGATTGTTTTTCCCTTCCTTTCCCGTTCCCGCGAAAAAACGGATGAGTGGAAACTCACCTTAAAGAAGAAAGAATATAAGAAAAGGACCCCACGCATTCTCAGTACACATTTTAATCTCAGGGGAGGGTATATTTATGGTATATTTGGGAAATTTTTTGACAAATTGCCAATTTCGTCAAAACGCTGTATCAAATTTATTTCTAGTTAACACCCTGGCATCATAAGCAAGAGGTACCGAGTTCGATCCCTACCATGTTCCTGGTAGTACCATGCTCAACTTGTTTCTCAGCGTAGCGGCCTTGGTTGTCAAGGTTTGTGTTTCGGAACTGTATAGTTAAGAGGTTATAACCGCAAGTAGCCTTTTCGTCCGGCTATCAACCCTGCTAAATCTTATAGTTTAGCCGGGTTTGAAAAAAGTCTCATTTTTAGCCGGAGCCCCAGTCGCTATCTACTAATACACCAAATTTGGCCAATGTTTTGCAAAACACTACCAACGCTATTCCAAGTATTACTTCATGTTCGTCGCGTTCCTCCAAGTTCAATTCTATAATGGTGATAGTGAGACAAACACGTCATATGTAGCTGATCAGCCACACAAAGTAAATCTATTATATTATGAAAGTATTGAACATGTGAAATTTTATTTTTATCATCATCATTATTATTGTTTTTTTTTGTCATCATCATTATTGCTTAAGACCACAGAATCTCTTCAAAATAGTTCAATGAAAAGAAGTGTAGCCCAAATACTGCAAAATGACAGTTGTAAGAAATGTGGTTTTGTTGATCCTCCCAAAAAAAGAACCAAAACAGTAACTTGGATTCAATGTAATAGTTGGTACCATTCTTCATATTTTGATCTCAAGATGAAACTAAAGTCAAGTGAACAGTTTAGGTGCAAACAATGTACCTAATAGATTAAAGAATTTTATCATATTATTGTTACATAAACTATTGATATTATTGTTTATATACTCATGCTTGCATCATAAGCAAGAAGTTCCGAGTTCAATCCCCACTACATCCCTGGTAGTACCGCGCTAAACTTGGTTCTTCGTGCAGCGCCTTGTTCGTCGAGGCTCGTGTTTCAGAGTTATAAAGTTAAGATAGGGTTGCAACCACAAAAGTAGCATATATATATACTTGATAGTTTTCTTTATACAATACGTCCACAAGATTTAAATCTTCATTACCAGGTCCTACAATGTTATTCCTCTATATAAACCACATTTTAGTGCTTCAATAGTTTTGTCAATGCTGGTTTACTATATATATATATATATATATATATATATATATATATATATATATATATATATATATATATATATATATATATATATATATATATATATATATATATATATATATATATATATATATATATATATATATATATATATATATATATATATATATATATATATATATATATATATATATATATATATATATATATATATATATATATATATATATATATATATATATATGTATATATATATACATATATATATAATATATATATATATATATATATATATATACCAGGTATACCGGTATGAAATGAGCGTTTTTTGTGAAAATAAAACACTAATTATTAATGGGAAAGTATAAAACATTTTATTCAAAGTATTGGCCATTGTTTTCTACACATTTTGACCACCTTTCTGGCAATTTTGTGGATACCACGCCAATAAAATTGTTCGTTTTTTAAAGCAAACCAACCAGACACCCAATTTTCGACCTCCTCGTAGGAATCAAAGTGCTGCTCAGCCAATGCGTGTCCCATCGATGAAAACAAATGGTAGTCGGAAGGAGCCAAGTCTGGTGAATACGGCGGGTGGGGTAGCAGCTCCCAGCCAAGTGTTTTGATTGTATCCTGAACCGGTTTTGCTTTGTGTGCAGGTGCATTGTCATGGAGCAAAATTACCTTGCCGTGTCTTCTGGCCCATTCTGGTCGTTTCTCGATCAATGCATGGTTCAAATTGATCATTTGTTGTCGGTAGCGATCAGTATTGACGGTTTCACCAGGTTTTAGGAGTTCGTGGAACACCACACCTTTCTGGTCCCACCAAACACACAGCATTGTCTTCTTGCCGAATCGATCTGGTTTTGCAGTCGATGTTGATGGTTGTCCCGGATTAACCCATGATTTTTTCCGTTTAGGATTCTTAAAATAAATCCATTTTTCATCGCCAGTAACAATCCGATGCAAAACCGATTTTCTTTCGTGTCTTCGAAGCAAAATTTCACAAGTGTTTTTTCGGTTTTCCATCTGTCTTTCATTAAATTCATGTGGCACCCATTTTCCACACTTTTGGATCTTTCCCATAGCTTCTAAACGGTCAGAAATTGTTTGTTGTGCAACATTTAACATTTGCAACAATAACACGTTTGCAATTCGGCGTCTTCAAACTTTTTTGGTGGTCTTCCACGTTCTTCATTTCTCACATCAAAATCATTATTTCTGAACCGTTGAAACCATCTTTTACATGTTGCTTCTGACAGAGCATGATCACCATATGCCTCGACAAGCATTCGATGCGACTCTGCAGCACTTTTCTTCAAATGAAAACAGAAAAATTAATGCTTTCCGCATTTTTTTTTTTAACACGATGAAAAAATATGATGTTGTCTGTTCAATGACTTGATGTATACTAAATATGTTTCACAGATGTCATAGCAAACAAACAAAAAAAAATAAAGGCTCGTTCACAACAAATGTTCCCTATCGAGACATTTGTATCTTGACGCACTTCATACCGGTATACCTGATATATATATATATATATATATATATATATATATATATATATATATATATATATATATATATATATATATATATATATATATATATATATATATATATATATATATATATATATATATATATATATATATATATATATATATATATATATATATATATATATATACATGCATAATAAGCTATCTCTTAAACTTTTGAAACGTATATTATTAAAAAAGAATTATAAAAATTGTATAGAGGTTGTATTTATACAATTTGTTTTGAAATATTTTGTTCTATGTCATGTAATTTTAGAATTCGTGATGCATTTTAATGTAAAAAAACAAGTTTTTTTTAATGTTTTATAATTTTAGAGATCGCTGGAAAGATCAAGTGGTGATAGTTCAAGTGGTGATAGGGTACATTGTTTAACGAGTTATTATGCAATATACATGTCA